ACATGAAAAAGCTTTCTCCATCTTAACGAAAATGCCAACAATAACTGCCATTCACAAATGCCACACACTATGGAATATTTGCAGGGCGCCTCTAAATAGACATAATCTCTTACATAATTAAAAGCAAACATTAAGGAAATTAAATTACAATGAAGAATGAAGAATGAATAATGAAGAATGAATAATGAAGAATGAATAATGAAGAATTTAAATGCGCATTTGGTTCCTTCATTGATATTTTACTCAAGCATTCAACTACTTTTGTTTGATAATGTAAAATAGATTCTTCAGAATTTTTTTCAATTTCTCTCAATATAAGCATAATTAATTAAAATTATAATAAAATCAATAATTTAATTTTCATTAATGTAAACTGCAAATAACCGATGTTTTTTTAAAAAAAATGTAATTTACAAACATTTATTGCTTTTAGTAGAAAGCGCTTATTTTTGAACCATCGGAGCGTATGAGTGACGTTATTTGCTTTCAGACTCTACTGATTTCTAGTAATTATTTTCCATAATTTAAGTTCAACAATTTTAAGGTTTCACTGTTAAATAACCACAATTTTGCTTTAGAAAATAAAATGTTTAATTTTCTAACTTATTTTTGATTTCTATTGTTAAAGAATATCTCAATGTTTTCTTGTCGCGTGGTATTTACTTTCAAAGTTACTTAACAATGATAAGATCTATTAAGAAGAATATTATTTAGAAAAATCTAAAGCTAAGTAATCGAATTATTTATGAAGAATATTATCTTGCACGCTGTTAAAAACAGTGTTATGGTTCTAATGATCTTGTGACCAATCACACCGGACGAGAAGACTCTTCAATCCATAATTGAATTAACCATTTGTTGACATACCGAATAGAATAAAAAACATATTCCACATTCAAACTTTCATATCAGGAATTTTTTTTTTTTATTAAATCCATTTATTTTATTACAATCTGTCAGGTATAAATGACAATAAGTAATATTTATATATAAATATAAATCGTAATAATAGTTATTACGATCTAAAGAAATGCGCATATGTACTATGCCCAGTGACATATCCATATATATTTAAAATAAAAGTGTGTGACCTACATATACATATTTAAAATGTCTCTCGATGTTTCGATGTTCTCAGCTTTGTAAAAGTGTTGAAAGGGGACATCAAGTGTGCATATCAGAAATAAGTACAACAATTCTGTTAACTGCGCCCACTCCACATTCGTTCATAGCACAATCTGTGAAAATTTGGTAGTCCCAATTGTCTATATTTTATCCTACTTCCCATTCGCCTTTTGACGGAGAAATTTTAAATTTTAAATAAAAATTTTCGGAACTCAATTTTTAATTCAAGACAAAGGATAGTGGAAGGCTATAACCGTTGATATAACTTTTAGTCTCTAACTCTAACAAAATCAAGTGTATAACGAATTTGAGAGCCGCTGAGGGTCATATGGCTTCACAATCCTTATGGCTTCTACGTATGCTATTTTCTGTATCTGTCCGTGTTTATTAATATTATATAATAAATATTATAATATTTTTTCTTTAATTAAAAAATACACTGACACTTTAACTTTAAATGACTGGTACACAATAATAGATATTTCTGATGAAATATTAAAATATTTTCAAAGTTTTATTATTGTAATCGACTAATAGGTATACCTTCTGCTCAAAAAGTATCCGGATTTTGTTGTTTGTTAACTACTCCTTAAGTAATAGAATTTTTTCAAAAATGTATTTGTTATGTTGGTACACCCTTTCTTGACATATGGTACAAATTTGAGCGCCATCTGTCAATTAGTTTGTTTACAGCAGCTGTTAATGTGAGACTACCTCTAACGCATCTAACGCGATTTTTACTATGGAAAATTCTTGTTGTACGTGATTTTTTGACCAAACACGGTACCACTGTCATCGCTCAGGCAACATATTCGCAAGATCTGGATCCGTGCGACTTTTTCCTGTTCCCGAAACTTAAATTGCCCCATCGTAGTAAGCGTTTTAAGTTAATTCAATCGGTAAAAGAGAATTCGCTGAAGGAACTAAAAGCTATACCTTCACGAGCCTACGAAAAGTGTATGGAAGATTGGGTTAACCGTTGGGATATGTGTATCGCTTCAGAAGGAGCATATTTTGAAGGAGATGAAATAAATTTGGAATTAAATTTAAATTTGTGTGTTTTATTTACAAAATCCGGGTACTTTTTAAGCTGGAGGTATTCTCTTTGAGTTTATTAAACAATCAAGTACATTAGTAGTCGCACACAAAGTTAGTCAATCTCATTTTTATTAGATATATTATCAGAGGTGAGAATATTTATCTTTCATTATTTTTTCAATACATTAAACATATATTTACTATATATATATTAGTATTCTAGTTGTAATTAAACAAGTTTAGTTGAACTATAAACCTCTAGTTCTTCACTTTACGCTGTAATTATATACTATAGGTACATCCAAATAAATAATTATACTTTATTCCATAAAATACAATTAAAAAGGTATAGCAGAAATGTATACTAAAAGCAAGTTAATTACTTTGGAAAGTGTTTCTAAATAATAGATTTCAACAAAAATAACCTGAAGTAAATAACAAACATTTATTAAAGCAAAGAAAATGACTGTATGTATGTTTTGTTGTCCAAGTGCACACATAAATTTTAATATATAATGTAAATGACATCCAATTCCCAAGCAGCCACTGAAAATCCTTTCATAAACAAAACAAATGTGACAACCAAGTGGAACTTCCGTGAAAGTCAAACCTTACTTCAGCACTTCAGCACTTCAGCACTTACACAATATGCAAACAGGTGAGAAAAATGGAAGGTCAAGCACATGGAACCAGCAACAACAAACATTTGACCTATTTAAGAATTAATACAAGTGCAGCAAGCTTTCCCACCTCGGAAAGGCCAAGTTTGCAGTTGCATGTCAATTATCGTGAAAATGCCCGTGAACGAGTAGTCCGTCAAGAAGAATGTAAATTAATAAAGAGCCACTTTGTTACCTTTTCTATGAAAACAAAAGAGAAGATTGCAGTACAAGTGCCTTAAGATAAAACCAATTATTTTCCAGCTAAAAGGAAAAACAAACTTGAATTGCATAATCCAATATAAAACAAATTAAAAAACAAAAGGATGAAAAAACTGATATAAGCAAAGCGAATAAAAAAGTGGAAGCAACTTGACGGAAAGGAAGGGAAAGGGTTTCCAGGAACTTGTCAACTTCACACTCACTCACACAATTTATAGAGAAAGTTTAGATAACATTTCATTATAATGAAAATTCAAAGGATTGTCAGAATGAAATGAGAAATTCAGTTTCAAAAGCAAAGAAAAATCCGACACACATATTGCTTAAGTACAACCTTTGAAATGACTATGGCAAGAGATGATTACATGTCAGTCAAATGTGAATAAGTTCTGTTTTGTGAATCATTTGACGCCATCATGATCAAAAGGATTTTTTATTTTAATTTAATGCTAGGAATTTGATTTGAATTTTAAAATATATAAAACTTTAGAGGAAAGTTTTATTTAGTTGCTTATAGTTGGATAAAAAGGTTCGCAATATTTTCATTAGATCTATATTCATAGTTCAGGAATAGAGGGTATCCTTGTAATCGCAATCAACTTTACTTGTATTTTAAATTACACTTTTTTACTTGACAATATGTATATGCAGCAATTTGCATCATTATTCATACAAAATTCATACGAAATTTATATAAAAATATGGTAAACAGGTTTAATAAGTCTAAGTGTAAACATATTATAACGAAACATTTAAACGAGTATACATAAACATAATATAAATTTAGAATATATTGTAATACTGTATTTAGTATTGAAGGTAAATACAACCAGGGCTTCGAACCGCTACCGAACCGAAAACCTAAAAATCCGATATATTTGTCGGAGCGAAAACCAGAACCGACCCGATATATTTTTTTGTTTTGAACCGAAACGAAAACCAAAACCCTGACGTTCGACAAGACGTAAATAATATAAATCTGTGTCAAGTGTATCAGTATCAGTTGGTAAAATAAATTAAGTTATATCAAATATATATTCAATAGCTTAGAAGAAGAAAAACTTACAATATGCTCAAAAAGTACTCGGATTTTGTAAATAAAACTCACAAATTTAAATTTTATTCCAAATGTATTTTATCTCATTCAAAATATGCTCCTTCTGAAGCGATACACATATGCCAACGCTTAACCCAATCTTCCATACACTTTTCGTGCAGGTATGGTTTTTAGTTCCTTTGGCGAATTCTCTTTTACCGATTCAATCGACTCAAAACGCTTACCACGAAGGGGCAATTTGAGTTTCGGGAACAGAAAAAAGTCGCACGGCGCCAGATCTGGCGA